TCTTGGATTTTTATGACTAGTTCTTCAACAGTATCTTTCAAGCATGCTGAAACAACAATAACCCAAATAAGAAACAGTGATTGTTGCTGTGGCTATGGTATGATATGTTCAAGTTATTCTTTTTTAAGCACTTACAACCCCACAATGAGTCTTTAAAAGAAACAAATACAAAAAGAACTTTTAAGGAGAAAGAGGAGTAAATTTGAGGATTCCCTCAGAGTGACTTAATAAAAGAAGAAACTTGAAGTAGAGTTTTGCTCCCCATTTTCTTGCTAACTTCTTACTTGACCTTGGGAAAATCATTTCCATTTCTCTGGGTTAGATGATTAGTCAGGTTCCTTCAAGTTTAAGTGCTATAAGATCAAAAGGCTCAATTAATCCTTGAGAGTTGGAAATGGGAAAAGATATGTCAGGACTATAGAGTGGCAGTAAAAATGGAGGGATACTGTAGTATAGTGGGGAAAAACTTGATACAGAATGTGAAATTCTAGATCCTAGTTCTGGCTACGCCATCAACTAGCTGGTAACACTGAACAAGTCACTTCCTTCTTCAAACCAAAATTTCTCCATTTATAAGGTAGCCCAGATGATCTTTCAGCTTTTATACCCTATAATTCTAAAGCATAGGCTATGCTGCTATAAACAATGACGTTCTATGGAATCAGTATGTTTTTGTAATTAGGAATAGGAGACATATTTAGCAGAGAGAAGCCCCAACTTGACATAAGCTTTCCCCCAAGTTCCAATTCAAATATTTTTCTAGAGCTCTCATAAGCATTGATCCAAATGAACTATTGTATTTTTGAATTTTCCTATTAATAAAATGCCCAAGGGCTGGCCAGAAAAGAGTGAATACAGGTGATTGATTAAATCCATCAATTCAGTATCTTTTGTCTCCTTTTCCGCCACTGTATTTTCTTTATACTACCCACTACTGAGACTACATCAGACCCATCTCTTTTGACTCAAATTTCTTCAAGGCTCAGTTCAAATCTCATTTCGTCCATGAAGCCTTCCATTCTCACTCTGATCCACATCCACATCTCATCTTTTAGATCGCTTTAGTATTACACTGATACTGTAAAGAATAAATGAGATGTGTAAAGAGCTTAGTGTAACATCTGTTATATAGTAATTGCTCAAGAAATGACAGTGCTTGGTGTTGCTGCCATGCCTTTAGCACTAATCACATATCCTTCAGTTCAGTTTGTCTCAAATTTAATGTAATTATGAATCATCTAGGGATCTTGTTCAAATGCAAATTCCATTTCAGTAGGTGTGAGGTGGGACCTAAGATTCTGTAGTTCAAAAAGCTACTAGCTGATGCTACTGTTAGTCCTAGGACCATACTTTGAACAGAGGGGTAGATTTTAGTAAACTTAAAAAAAAGAAGAAGAAAAAAAAATCACCCAGCTTGATAGTAAGCTCTTGGAAGGCAGATACTATTATTTCTCATCTTTTTTAGTAAATGTACCTTATAAAGAGAAGGTGTTTAATTATCATCTGTTGACTTATCACATCTACAGTTTCTAGATAATCATGAGTATCTCTGTTGAACCAATTTTCAAATCATACACTGAAATGTACCAGTATGAAGACCTTACTTGGTCACTGAAGTCAGAATGGCTGGGATGGAAGTAGGGTAGAATCTGCTCCACGTGTGAAAGTATAATACAAGAAACAATAAATGAACAAATGGTCACCTGTTCTTTGTTTCATTAAAGAGAAATCTTAATTGCACTTCAAATGTAAGAATGAATATTAGAAGAAAACGTATTATATGACAATATTTAAAAATCAAATACATAATAAGGTATATAATGAGCTTGATTTTATTTTATTTATTTGTTTGTTTGTTTATTTTGCAGTCCTGGGGCTTAAACTCAGGGCCTTCATCTTGAGCCACTCCACCAGCCCCATTTTTTTGTGATAGGGTTTTTCGAGATAGGGTCTCTCAAACTGTTTGCTCAGGCTGGCTTCGAACTGTGATTCTCCTGATCTCTGCCTCCTGAATAGCTAGGATTATAGGCATGAGCCACTTGCATATACTTTTTTTTGTGGCATACATACATTTTTCAATGATCCCTTAGTGTATAATTAATCTAAAGATCTCAGGCCACCAATGAAAGTATTTCAAACAAAAGAAACACCCTCCAATTTTTCCATCAGCATAGTAGGAAAGTCTCCAAGTTACATTGCCCACAATTACACTGACAGAAATTCAAAGGAATCTGCTGTGTATTAAGAATGCTCTAAGAGGCTCCCTATTTTAAGTCTTTCGGTTAAATCTCCATTTATTTAAATGCTTGTTAAAACCCTACTTATTTAAGCATTCTATAATTCAGACGGGACCAATATTCTTAAGTCCTACTGGAAGACTACATTCTCTTCCTACTAGAGCACCAGGAAAATTACACTGAGCATATATGGCACCTGCTTCCTGAATACTATCCTAAACTGTGACACAGATTTACTAAAATCAGCCTCTACAGCAAAAAGCACCTTTGTAAGTCAATTGTTTAAGCAGAAACCTGCTCCTTAATTCATAGAGACCTTTCAATAAAACCAACCATCAATATTTAACTGTGTTGTTTTTAACAAACTTAGACATGCTAGAAGACAAACTGGGAAATTCTGGGAATTGCTATTAAGCAGAAAAACAGAGGAGTACAGAACTGCCATCAAGCACTAGTCTCAAACTGGGCTGATGAGTTTTAATAAATCAATGTTATTACTTCAGAGAAAATCAGAATGCAGTTGGGAGTCAGCCTACAGGAAAGAGGCTCCTATTACTTCCATCAGAAGTCTAGTCTCCAGGGCAAGACAAACTCTCTGGTATATGCCAGGCACTCTTCCTAGAAAATAATACTATCCAAGGAGAGTTTCAAATCTCAACCCACTGAAGTATTTCTCACCAAACACAGATCTGCAGCAGCCTTGTCATACTCATATAGATAATTGTCTTCCTACCATGGGCACCTAACTAGCAATTAGAACCAAACTAATAGCTTCAATAGGACAAGAGACCAGGACAAGGTGTACATAGGTAAGATTCTTGCATGGAAAAAATCAAACACCGATGTCATTCTCATTTCTCCTTTATTCTCAGCCTTTCTTCAAGACTTATCTTATGTGAAGCTTTCTACAATAACTCCAGCTCTCACTAATTACTGAAACACTGGTCTCAACCAATAATTCTGAATTCCTTTTGTTAACTATTTCATGTATCCATTTTGCCTCCCCCTTTGAGTCTGGATTCTCTCCAAAAGGCCCCCAAATTGCCTAGGTCCTAGGAGTTTATTATTAATACTGCTAAAAAAATTGTAATAAGTGAGACAATATAACATAATGGAGTGAAAAAAGTATATTCAAACAGGCCTAAAATCAAATCCTGGTTCTACCATTTATTGGCTGCATGGCTGTGAACGCATCACTTCCCTTTTCTAAGCCTCAGTTTTCTGGTGAGAATCCAACCAGATATCATATTAAGAGTACCTGCTCGAGAGTCTGGCATATAATGGACACTCAACAGAGCTTAGTTATCTTCCCTTTCCCCTGAGGAAGCACTTGTTGATTTGAACTGAGAGCCATTCTGGTAGGAAGGCAGCACTATGGTATTCCTTTACACTTTCCCCATTACCCTCTTGCATGTGCCTTTGTCATCAATGGGCAAAAGTCTTTTCTGCTCTAATGTGTTGGAGAGAAAAAGCCAAATACACAAGTCACGCAAAGGGCTCTTCCAAGCAGTCACATCAGCAGCCAGCAGGAGGACATCTTCACATATTCATCTCACTTCTCCCAGCTCACACCAGCACTAGCTCTCTCCTGCTCTCCCTCACTCCAGGACTGCCAATGAAAGAATGACAGACAGAGCAAAGCAGTGAAGCAGCCCAAGGAGGAAATGAAGATAAACAGCTCAATGGTCCCTCCGTGCCTTCCTCTTGGAAGAAACACTCAGGTCCAGGCTCCAACCTCAACCCCTGAGGGAAAAAAACATAAACAAACAAACAACAAAAAAAAGATTCCTGGCCTCTTCATTTCTTCAAGCCCTCTACCAATTAATTCCACCATCCCACTATCCCCTAGGTCAACTCCCTGCTACATGGGCACCTCTCAGTTCACTTGCCTTAAATGAACCTTATTCATGCTTTTCCCAAGGAGCGGTTACAGCTTCCCCAACCTTTACCTTCTCAGTTGGAAAAGTATCACATATCCCTTAAAAAAAAAAAAAAGGAAAAAGAAAAAAAAATCTTAAGTTTCCCATCTTCTGCATTAAGGCAGATCTTTTTATGTGTGCCTCTTTAAAATTCCACACATTTCACTTAGGTCTTCATCTGGAAAAGGCCTCATCACTTCCACACACCCCCCCACACACATATATCAAAGACAAACCAAAAAAACCCATACATCCCATCCCTACGGCACAAAATATAATCATTTTAGTAATCTTAAACAGACTTCAGCCACGCTCCAAGGAAACCCGCACGTGGACACCTGGGCTACCACATCTGTGATCTGATCCACCTTGATATCTGTACTTGACATCAGCCTCCAAGGGTCCAGGTTAAGGAGAAGAGAGAAAACAAAACAAAACAAAGTGGCCATCACCCTCTCCGCTTCAAATGTCCAATTCCCACTCCCAATTCACTCCTTTTTTATCAGTTTTTCCAGTGGCCACCTGGGGCCATCTCCACCTCGGCTTGTGTCTGAGCTGTCAAGTCCCAAGTCCGTCCCCTCCACCCCAGCGCTCCCCCCCACACACACCAAAAAAAGATGTCTTAGCTCTTTCCCTGTTGCACGGAGTAGCTGCTTTTCCATCTGGGGGATTTGAGGCAACTGAGGCAGTTTACCCAGAATCCTCCGGGCTGGCCGGCCAGTGCCCTCCCGCTCCCCCCAACCGCACCTGCACGTGGCCCCCCGGGTGAGCTCGCGGACCTTCCCGTGGCTCTGCACCGCTGCCCTGGGGCCCGTCCTCCCTCCTCCGCCCCGCAGGCCCCTACCAGTCGGTGTGCAGCTCGTCCACGACCAGCAGCACCTTGGCCTTCCTGGCGGCGGGCGCGGGCGCGGGCGCGTCCACCAGGCCGGCCGAGGCGGCCGTCTGCTTCACGGCTTGGGACAGCGAGCTGAAGAAGCTGCTGCCCACCGACGGCGCCGGCGCGGGCTGCGGTGCGGGCGCCTGGGCAGGCGGCGGCCTCCGCTCGGGGCCGGGCGAGGCGGCCGGGGGCACCGCCGAAGCCGAAGCGGCGCCCGGGCCGGGGGGTGGCGGGGGCTGCTGGGGCTCCGGCCGCTGCAGGTCGGTCATGTAGCCATTGGGCAGGTTGGCGATGAAGCTGCTGTCCGACAGCCGGCGCCTCAGGAAGTTCATCATCTGGCTTGAGGGGCTGGGGGCGCGCGGGGCGGCGCGGAGGGAGGGGCGAGGGGCGAGGGGCGAGGGGCGAGGGGCGAGGCTGAGGCGGCGGCTGAGGTGACCGAAGCCGGTCCGCGGCGCGCGAGCCCAGCAGACAGCCGCGGTGCACTGGGCCGGGCAAGCGGGCGGCGAGAGGCTGGGAGTCCGGCAGTGGGCGGGGTCGGGGCGGAGCTACGGCTGGCCACGCCCCGCGCCGCAGAGCTGGCTCCGCCCCCGCCTCCGCCCGCGCATGGGTACCTGCGCGGTACCCATGAGAGGCTCGGGAGAGTCAGCCCTGCTGCCACCTGAGCGTGACTGTATAGGGAGGACGTGAGTGCCAGTTTCCTCCCTGTGAGGCGAGAAGAGGAAGCTGAGAGTTCCCACCGCCTTTCTGGTTGGAAAGAAGAGCGTGTCTTCACAGAGACAAAGGTGAAGAAACAGCTCCACTCCCTTTAGAAGGGAGAGAGGAGTGAGCCTCCCTACCCCGAGGTGAGAGAAAGGAGCCTCGTGCGTGTACACACACACGCCATGTAGTGAAAAGGAAAAGAACCACCTTTCCTAACGCTGGGCAGAAAAGTCCCATCTCCCCAAGGCCCAGGTGAGGGAGAAGAAAGAAAGAAAAAAAAAATGCCCCTTCCGCAGAAGAAGGAGTCAAGACCAACGGCCAAGGAGAGGAAGTAAAGGCAACTGGTCCTCTCCACCCTGACTTGGAAGGAGTTATGGGTGCATTTTCAGTGACCCACCCAACAATACGAATTTCTCTCCTCTCCTCACTTACCAGAGAGAGTAAGCCTGGCCAAGGCTGAAGTCCCTCTGCAAGATCCCTCAGAGGGATTTCAAAGACTCTCCCACCCCTTCAGTTTGCTTCCATGACGTGCATTGGTGCATCCCATGCTGTGTGAGATCTTTCTGCTTGCTTTTTCCAGTCCTTTCGTTGGTCACTCCTGTCCTTTCATTGGTCACTCCTGCATTGACCTTCATGAAGACTTTGAGTGCCATCCCCCATATGAATGCTCTAAATTTTGTGTGACTCCTGGACATTTATTTTCACCTCTCATCAGATATATATGTTGCCCAAGTTGTATTGGGCAAAATACAGCAGATAGACTTTTGAGGCAGCCCACTGGGAGTGATATATGACCTTGGACAAACTACCCTCTTGAGCCTCTTTTCCACACCTAATGAAAGGGTGGAAAATCATACTTTTCAAGGTTGTTAGAATAAATAAGATCAATTAGGGAAAACATCTGGTACATAGTACACGTTCCAGTGGTGGTGCCTAAACTCTTATTATTTGAATTGGTTCTCAGTAAGTATTAACTGGGTTGAATGGAGTCAGTGACTGACCTGTCACTAATAATGGCAGGCCATCCTTGTTTCCAACATCTCAGTTTGCCCTCAGCTTGGGCTTGGTGATGCACAATCCTGCTCTGATCCAGTGGTATTAGAGAGGTCTAAGACAATTTCAAAAACATAAGCTCACAATGTGAGTTGAAGAATTGAGGGGGAGTATAGACACAGGAACAGTTAATCACAACAATATGTGAGAAATGCTACAATATAGTTGGGCAAGGTTGTCTAGGAACACCAAGGAGACAAGACTCGTTCTGCCTGAGAGGCTCAGGAAAGTTCTCTCAGAGGATGTGGCATTTCAGATGGATCTTGAGGCATCTGTTAGAGTTTACCTAGACAGAAATGGAGGAAGAGCTAGGCCAGAGAAGGCATGGAGGGAAGAAGGCTAACTGATGACTCCCCCAGGAAGTGTTCCTCCGTCCTCCAGGAAGGGCTGTTTCATGTCTTGGCTTTGTTAGGGCTCTTGATATTCTGGTGACTATCATGTAAGCTTTTCAAAGACAGGATTGTGTCCTAGTAATCTTTGGACCCCAACATCAAGCACAGTAGCTGACATACAGTAAGAACTCCATTGCTTGAGAATTGAACCATGTTCTTGTCTATTGGAAAATAAAACCAATGTCACTAATAAATAAACTTAATTTAACCTCCTGACCTTCCAAGAAGTATTTCTTAGAAAACCAAAGGAATCTTTTACAAACACATGTATCTCTAATAATAGGATTTCAGAGACTATGTCACTTACCGTTTTAGGGTGATTAGGTTGTCCCTTTCTATATATATTCCATTAAGTAATTTCCCCTAATCATTAAGCTTGGAATATAAGTATAGTATTTTAAAATCAACCAATTAACAAATATGTTTTGAGTGCCTAAGACACACAAGACATTATGCTAGGGGGATAGAGGATGAAGGAGATTTAAGAATGAACAAAATCCAAATTCTTGCTTTAAGAAGACAGCTCATAAGTATGTGAGCTTGTAATTAGCAATAGCAGAGCAATCTGTTAGTGGCCAGGAAATGGAGCAGGCAGTGAGTGTTAAATAAACCAGAGGAAGAAGAAATCATAGAGATGAGAGATAATTTCATAGGGGAGTAAGGGAATTCAGGTAGGCAGGACAAGGCAACTAAGATGGAGATGATAGCAACAGCAAAGTCAGGGAGTAAGAAGATTGATCAGTAAGAAGATTGTGTAAATCTACACCTGGAAGCCAAACCCTTGCCTGTATGAGCACTTTACCCTTATACCTTCGCACTTGTTCTTTGTATCATGGTACCTGGCATGTAGTGTGCCCTCCAGTAGTGTAGGAGAGGCTCAGAAATACTGCTGGTGTGCAATATTCTCCTCTGATCTGCAGTGATCCACAGTCTTACTTTCCACAGTTTCAGTTACCTATGGTCAACTGTAGTCTAAAAATATGAAGTGGAAAATTCCAGAAACAATAAGTGTTAAATTGTGCACCATTCTGAGTAGTGTGATGGAATCTGCACCATCCTGCCCTTTGTCATGTGGGACATGAAACATTCCTCTGTCCAGTGCATCCACACTGTGTATATTACCCACCCATTAGTCACCATCTCTGTTATTGTATCGCCTATTGTGATAGCCAAGTGCTTATGTTCAAGTGACCCTTAGTTTAATAACCCTAAGCACAAAAATAGTGATGCTAGCCAGAGAGACTAGGCCAAGGAGAAGCCATAAGTTGTTTACTTTAAGAAAAAGGTGAAAAGTCTTAATAAAAAGTAAAAAAAAATCATATGCTGAGGTTGCTTAGATCTGCAGTATAGTAAGATATTTTGAGAGGGAACGACCACATTCACATAACTTTTAGTAGAGTGTATGGTTGTCATTGTTCCATTTTATCATTGGTTATTGCTGTCCATCTCTAATTGTGCCATATTTATATTATACATAAGTATAAGTATGTATGTGTAGGAAAAAACATATGAATGATTCGGCATTATTGGTGGTTTCAGGCATGCACTAGGACGGCATTCCCCACAGATAATGAGAACACAGGATATGGTTATGTCGTTAGTGTCTACCCAACTTGTCTTTTAAAGCTTCTCTTCTGCTTCTCTCAGAATGATCTGCAAAGCCCACTAAAACGTCTAACATACACAGGTATCTCAATCATGGGAACTCACAGTGTTCCCAGAGAACAGCTTTGCTTTAAACTCCTTATTTAAAGCAACAGAAGCCCACAAAACCATGAAAAATGTTTAGCAAATATTCCATTAATTTGTTACATTATTTCCAGGTAGGTTTTAATAAAAATATCATTCTTGTGGAAGACTAGACTATTTTCTTATACTTGGGCATAGTTGGTCACTAATGAATTGTATATGACCAGAAGGTTTTCATCAGCTAGTTCAACCATAAATCACCTTTGCTTAAACAAGTTCTGCACATTCCAGTGGCTCTTTGCCAAGAAGTATCTTTGTATGCTGTGCTTTATTATAAGTGGCCTTGGGTTTTAATGCGTCATCATGGAACTCCTTCCCCTATCCCCTATTCAGATTCCAGATCTAGGTAGAATAATTCCACTATTAATCTATCTTATGCACTGCCTTTTACCTAGACTTGAAGGGAGAACTGAATTTGGACTCAGAAATTCTATGAAATATAAAATTCTGCCACTGTGAGGGCCTTTTCTCCCAGTCTCCCTCTGAGACCAACCATCCTCCCCCATCCCCAGGTGGCAGGTATTTCTCCCACAACAATCAGCACAGGGGCCTCTCCCATTTTATTTAATCCTTCAGTGACTGATTAAGTCAATGGTCAGGGTCTCAGACGTCCCTTCCAGTTATGGAAGATCAGGACTCTTTGAGGTCCTTCCCTGCGTAATCTTTTTCTTTCCACTGAATTGTAAGCTCAACTAAACATCTGGCTGCTGCAGATGAAAGAATCCTGCTAAAATCAAGAACCAATTTAAATGCTGTATCACCTCTCTGATTTCTCTTCCCCTGAGCAACAGTGTAGTAAGCTGAGTATATGACTGAGGACCAGTTGAAGTGTCTTGAGCAGGTAGAATTCAGAAACCTAGCTTAAAGGAAGCCTGGTACATTGAGTTACTTGGCAAGATGTTTGCTACCTGAGTTTCCTCCCAAACATGGACTAGAGCCATGTCATCTTTTGCTCTTTGCAGGATCAGGGATCATGTTCAGACTCACCTATTCCAAAGAAAATTAGAAAGAGTTGGGAACTCAGAAACTGTGCCTCCTAGTCCTGCTCCATCTGTGCAGTTTTCAACAGATTGGTTGCTGAAGTCTCTGTGCCTTATATAGGGAGTGATACTGTCTTGGGCCTCTGATGAGATCACCTGAGAAGCATTTTGGAACTAACAAAGTTCTACCAGAAGAGGCATCATGATTGCCTTCCACACCATCTTATTACCTGTCATTTTGGTGAGCCCACTGATTAGAATTCATCATCTCCACTGAGGTGGTCCTTCTTGGCAATGCTGGTCCCTGATAACTCCTCTTCTATCTCTGTATGGTCAGAAGACAGCATGTCTCCCATTCACCTCAATACAGGTGGCCATGTCAACTGGGCCAGTTTATCATAATTAGGAATTACACTAACATAAATCAATTCCTAAATCTATCTCATGTTAGCTGTGTATCTTTAGCAAATCACATTCAGCCTCAGTTTCCTTGCCTGTAGAAGAATGGTAATAATTACTCTATCTGCATTGAAGGACTATTGGGAGGCCTAAATAAGATCTAGTGTGCCTGTATTTTATAAGCTGTAAAGC